GGTTTTCTGGTTTTTAAAAATCACCTTAATGGGGATGGGGGGGGCGAAGTCACCAAATTGAAGAGGGAAGTTAACTATGTAAGGTGAAATTTTGACTTTAGAAAGAAGTGAACCCACCTTAAAACCTGTTATACTAATTCTCTTTCAAAGAAGTTTCTACTCTGTAATCTGAGTAACAATAACGATGGGCCAACTATATTCACTTTGCTACTCCATTCACTTTCCTATCAAACAATGTGGAAATTTTCCTTTAGTACTAAGTATAGGTGGTATATGGGTGCCAGGTGAATTCGAGGAAGAAACGAGCATGTTCTATAATTGCAGGTCTACCACCAAAATAAGCCATTTAGTAGATTCTGATTCAAGGAGTGTTCCCAGGTGTGTTCAAACCATTGACCTTTCTTGGTCAACAGGACAACACATTATGTACTATGGCACCAAGACTCCCTATCACCATAATCTCACAGAAAGGCTAAAGGTTAGGAAATCAAACATATATAGGTTAGAGTGAGTCACGATTCTTTGACAAAATAGCTTTAATTGCCCTACTAAAGATAAATAAAACTGATCCAATAAATATAGACTGTTAGTAAGGGATAAGATGGCAGTGTTTCATTTATGTATTCTACCAGAAAGATGGGAAATATCTGAACTTGCACCTTATATATCTGAACGTACACCATATAAATCTCACATGATCACCAGAATCAAGAGAAAAGAATGGGACTTTTGAGGACTTGTGTGGGCCGTGTTACACAAAGAACAAATCAAAGTGATAAGCAGGTTCCTCTTGCTTGCAGAAAAGTTGCCTTTAGGGCAAAAAGACTTTAAGGGACCAATAACAATGTGCAGTGGATAAAGATGGCAGGTTACTTAAAAAGCAAGTGAAGAGTAAAAAGATAAGCATGACTTATGGCTTTCAGGCTCCTGAAAAGAAAACCTACAAAGTTATGAAATATCCTATTTACTTTCATATAGGGCAAAGGTTAAAAACTTGAGAACAATTGGTTTAGCCCCCATAGTACTTTCATGAACTAGATGCTAACCTGCAAAGGAGAGGTCACTGAAAACTTCTCTTTTCTCCTTTACATTAGAATGCAGCATGATGCTCTCAGTCTGCCACCACCACTCCAACTTCTAACTGGCTGGCCCCTGAGGGCATTTGTTGGCAATTCTTCCATTTGGCTTTAAATATCAACCCACAGTTACACACATGTCTTAATGTTCTTTCTTCATTTGGGAAGATGGTGACTATTTTTATATGTTGTTGTTGTTATGTGCCATCGAGTCGTTTGCGACTCATGGCGACCCTATGTACAACAGCCCTAAACCGTG